CACCCGTGTGGACGGCCAAGACGTTTATCTTCCCGGCCATACCGTATATGTATACGTTGCTACCAACAGTCACCTAACAGTCTCCAATGTTAACAACGCTATCTTATACTACACAACGACAGTGTGTTAAAATTGTTTGAATAACTTGGCTGTGTACATACTATTCGGCGCCACTATGGCAACAATCAACAGCTCTGTTAAGCCTCGTATGCCAACAGGAAATGGATAGTATACAATGTTAAATTACTGTAGTAAAAACATGTATATATACACTATATTATATTACTACCATATATAACATAGAACGGCATATATTTTACAGCTAACAAACAAAAATTCTAAATGTATTTAACAACCTATTATCGACGATAAATTATTTCAACATTTAAACACATTCTGAATGTGTGTGAAACGCCTTAGGTTCTCAGTACAACACATCATCTTACCTGTTTGTTTAATTGTCAAAGACGTACTCTACTTCAATGGTTTATTCAATACTCAACGTGATAGAAGGGAAAACGTGACCTACGGGTAGAGCGCTAGACTGCTCACCAGTAAGACGTGAGTTTGAATACGAGTTCAATGCAGTAGGACGTCCCTGAGTTCACCAAGCTCAGATGGGGTACCAAACTCACCTAAGTAAGGGAAAAATAAAGGCGGCTGTGCATAGTGATGACCACACTAACCCTTCAAATTCCGAGGTCACTGAAACAGATTAACTCTACTTCATCTGCCCCATATGTCTTGGGCACGAAAGGGAAAAAAAATGAAAGTCGTAGAAACGGCTTAGATTCGCAGTACAACAGATAATGTTACCTGGACCTTACAATCTATTAAAGCTGTCACCTGATTCTTGTAAATTATTTACGCTTTCACGTGGACTTGCAGGCTGTTGATCCTATCACTGGACTGTAAAGGCTGTTGATCCTGTTACCTGGACTGTACACACTGTAATGACCCAAACCGCGGACTGCTGGGAGAACTACAGAGTTTTCGTGTCGCTTGTTCCAACGTCCTTCAAGCTGTGACAGACCGGGCTTTTGGCTGGCTATTTATAGTATATAGAGGGGGGGGGCTAGACTACCCCCCCCCCCATTGTTACCTTTGTATTGTTCGAGTCATAAGTCACCCAGCGGCCACTCCCCACAAACAACCTGAGACTTACGTGCAGGAATAACCTTGAACTTTGTTAGTGAACACACGTTTCAACACGTTGGAGGGTGTGTGGGGGGAGGGGGAGGAGAAGATACAGCTTTTAATAATTTAAAATAACTGTATCAATTATGTTACCGAGTACTGTATACATCATGATAATATTATCATTAGCCCTGTATCGAGTTGTATAAATGGTCAGCTTCAGATTAGGGCTAGGTTTATTGATTAGGGTTGGAGGTTAGGAGAGAATAGAAAACATACGTTTGGGATATGTTATCCACCTTCTTCCTCATATAGTTTTCTATATAATTTCTATACATAGCTACTTGTTATATCTTATAACCACTGTACCCATCTTCCTCCAAGTCCCTCTCCGCCAGAGGCGTAGCGACCGTTCCCGGCGCCCGGGGACAAACTTTTCGATTTGCACCCCCCCCCCCTCAAACTTTCCATTTGCACCCCCCCCCCCTAAAACTTTCGATTTGCACCCCCCTCAACCTGACAATTTATTTTTCCAACCCATTTTGGCGCCCCCTAAGGTCGGCGCCCGGGGACATATGTCCCCCCCCCCGCCCGCCCCCCCCCCCTTTCGCTACGCTACTGCTCCCCGCCCCTCCCTGAAACACAAACCAAAGACAACCAAGAGAAATGCTTGATATAAATTTGAAATAGATGCACATTCTTATTCCGAAAATTTAAAAAAAGAAAAAAAAGATGCGTTACAATATATTTATATCGTCATGAACTTTTACAGTCGAGTGTAGTGTAAGCGTTCAACATTGTCCTTCAATGTTAGCTGTGCTAAAATATAGGTGTGTATCAACATGTGTATGTATGTAAAGTGTAGAATTAATGAAGCACTATTCGAGGCTTTGAGTTTAGAGTTAGTATAGTGTGTAGTGTGGTTACCTTCGATACGTGAGGATATGGGGTAGGGCCAATGGACGAGCTCCGTCATGGTCAGTTGAAGGTGACAGACCGTGTTAGCCCATACAGAAATTGTATGTTTAGTACCTGCTTGACCTTGTAGTCCGACCCCAAAATGGCGATAGGGATCTTCAACTATCGTGTACACGCGAGGTGGGGTGGGGTGCTGCAGGTAGGCAGGGTGGGGGATAGGGTGGTGGGTTGCGGATCGGAAAGTTGGTGGGGGGGTTAGTGTGAGAGATTGTTGGTAGGTAACGTGGAGTGTCGTGGAGTGTATGCTTCTATCCGAGTGGTTTAGTCCACGATCGCATGTTGTACAGATTCTGCAATAGCTCGCAACTTCAGGCGTCACGCGTACTTTGTCCACAAGCTTGACCAGTATAAATTATACCAAAATAAATTATACCAGTATAAATTATACCAACATAAATTATACCAGTATAAATTATACCAACATAAATTATACCAGTATAAATTATACCAACATAAATTATACCAGTATAAATTATACCAACATAAATTATACCAGTATAAATTATACCAGTATAAATTATACCAACATAAATTATACCAGTATAAATTATACCAACATAAATTATACCAGTATAAATTATACCAACGTAAATTATACCAGTATAAATTATACCAACGTAAATTATACGAGTATAAATTATACCAACATAAATTATACCAGTATAAATTATACCAACATAAATTATACCAGTATAAATTATACCAACATAAATTATACCAGTATAAATTATACCAACATAAATTATACCAGTATAAATTATACCAGTATAAATGCTACCAGTATAAATTATACCAACATAAATTATACCAGTATAAATTATACCAACATAAATTATACCAGTATAAATTGTACTAGTATAAATTATACCAGTATAAATTATACCAACATAAATTATACCAGTATAAATTGTACTAGTATAAATTATACCAGTATAAATTGTACTAGTATAAATGATACCAGTATAAATTATACCAACATAAATTATACCAGTATAAATTGTACTAGTATAACTGATACCAGTATAAATTATACCAACATAAATTATACCAGTATAAATTATACCAACATAAATTATACCAGTATAAATTGTACTAGTATAAATGATACCAGTATAAATTATACCAACATAAATTATACCAGTATAAATTATACCAACACAAATTATACCAGTATAAATTGTACTAGTATAAATGATACCAGTATAAATTATACATATATAAATTGTACCAGTATAAATTATACCAGCATAAATTATACCTGTATAAATTGTACTAGTATAAATTATACCCGCATAAATTATACCTGTATAAATTGTACTAGTTTAAATTATACCAGCATAAATTATACCAATATAAATTGTACTAGTATAAATTATACCAGCACAAATTATACCAGTATAAATTGTACTAGTATAAATTATACCTGTATAAATTCTGTGGGGTAGGTAAGGTGGGATGGAGTGGTGGGCCGCCGATCGGTATGGTAGGATGGTTGGAGTGTGGTGACAGGCTTCGTGTAGGTAAGTTACGCCTCTACACCAGAGGCTTAGTCCACTATAGCCTATTGTACACACACACAACAGGACGATACTACCCCCACTGGCGTTACACGTACATTTGTCCATAAGGTGGTCAGTAAGGTCATCTTGACTTTCTGATGACGTGTTCATATGACGGACGGTCAGAGGGGGGAGGGTTATATAACGGACGGTCAGAGGGGGGGGGGGGGACATATTACGGACGGTCAGAGGGGGGGGGGGGGACATATGACGGACGGTCAGAAGGGGCGTTATATAACGGACGGTCAGAGGGGGGGGGGACATATTACGGACGGTCAGAGGGGGGGGGGACATATGACGGACGGTCAGAAGGGGGGTCATATAAAGGACGGTCAGAGGGGGGGGGGGGCATATGACGGACGGTCAGAAGGGGGGGACATATGACGGACGGTCAGAGGGTGGCGGGTCATATAACGGACGGTCAGAGGGTGGGTGGCGGGTCATATAACGGACGGTCAGAGGGGGGGGGGGACATATGACGGACGGTCAGAGGGGGGGGGGTCATATAACGGACGGTCAGAGGGGGGGGGGGTCATATAACGGACGGTCAGAGGGTGGCGGGTCATATAACGGACGGTCAGAGGGGGGGGGGGTCATATAACGGACGGTCAGAGGGGGGGGGACATATTACGGACGGTCAGAGGGGGGGGGGACATATAACGGACGGTCAGAGGGTGGCGGGTCATATAACGGACGGTCAGAGTGGGGGGGGGACATATGACGGACGGTCAGAGGGGGGGTCATATAACGGACGGTCAGAGGGTGGCAGGTCATATAACGGACGGTCAGAGGGGGGGGGGGTCATATGACGGACGGTACTAAATAAGAATTAATTATAAACAATAATATATTTTAAAATGAATTGAATATTAGAAAATTAAGTAAACTTTCTTCAGTAGAAGCAGTGGACACTCATTAAATCTCTTGCTCAATATAGCAAAAAAAAAATGCTTTTATTGAAAGAAAGGCACGTTTATTTGATTTCACTACTGTATCTTTGAGCATATTACAATACGAGGCTTGCTAAACTTGTTTTACCAACAAATTCTTTTATTTTTTTTCCTCTTTAGTCTAACCTCTATTTCAAATACATTAAACATTCATGTTTTATCGTGAGCCCGTTAGCAGAGTTGATATTGTTCTGGTTAGGAAGAAAAGAACCGAGGAACGAACCTCTCCGACTCCAGAAACACTTTCCTTATTGCATTCACTGATCAGCTCTGGAAGCTCATTGAATTGATCTCAACAATCTAATATAACTTGGTAGTGTACATATGAAACAAATGTCACCACCTTGTTGTAGAGTTTCTGACAACAAATTTTCACATGATGTTAGTTGTCGGTCGAGTGGTTGCTTTTGTTTGTCTGACGTAGGAACTCTTCACGGTCTGGTTTCTGTGACGTCAGAATATAAGAATACTATATTTTAGAGCAAATGAATATTTTACTATGTTATATTTCTTACTAGATCTATATTCCTATATTTAAGTTGTTAAAACTTCATTAAAATCAAACATTTTTAAGATCACTTTGCATTTGTTTCAATTTCATTTACATCTACGCGCTGTTGACGAATTCACAATAGAGTGTGTATTTGTGAGTGTATGTGTGCGTGTGTCAATTTTTAGTTCTCTAAAGTTTAAACATGAATTAAACAAATTAGAGTGGACGTCCAATGCCGCCGGTGTTAAAGTTCCCAGTAAAGTATCCAGCCGTGCTAAAGCCTCCAGCCGTGCTAAAGTCTCCAGCCGTGCTAAAGTCTCCAGTAAAGTCTCCAGCAGTGCTAAAGCCTCCAGCCGTGCTAAAGTCTCCAGCCGTGCTAAAGTCTCCAGCCGTGCTAAAGTCTCCAGTAAAGTCTCCAGCAGTGCTAAAGTCTCCAGTAAAGTATCCAGCCGTGCTAAAGCCTCCAGCCGTGCTAAAGTCTCCAGCCGTGCTAAAGTCTCCAGCCGTGCTAAAGTTCCCAGTAAAGTCTCCAGCAGTGCTAAAGTCTCCAGTAAAGTATCCAGCCGTGCTAAAGCCTCCAGCCGTGCTAAAGTCTCCAGCCGTGCTAAAGTCTCCAGCCGTGCTAAAGTTCCCAGTAAAGTCTCCAGCAGTGCTAAAGTCTCCAGTAAAGTATCCAGCCGTGCTAAAGTCTCCAGCCGTGCTAAAGTTCCCAGTAAAGTCTCCAGCCGTGCTAAAGTCCCCAGTAAAGTATCCAGCCGTGCTAAAGTCCCCAGTAAAGTATCCAGCCGTGCTAAAGTCTCCAGCCGTGCTAAAGTTCCCAGTAAAGTCTCCAGTAGTGCGAAAGTCTCCAGCCGTGCTAAAGTCTCCAGTAAAGTCTCCAGGCGTGCTAAAGTCTCCAGTAAAGTCTCCAGCCGTGCTAAAGTCTCCAGCCGTGTTAAAGTCCCCAGTAAAGTCTCCAGCCGTGCTAAAGTCCCCAGTAAAGTCTCCAGCCGTGCTAAAGTCTCCAGCCGTGCTAAAGTCCCCAGTAAAGTCTCCAGCCGTGCTAAAGTCTCCAGCCGTGCTAAAGTCTCCAGTAAAGTCTCCAGCCGTGCTAAAGTCTCCAGCCGTGTTAAAGTCCCCAGTAAAGTCTCCAGCCGTGCTAAAGTCCCCAGTAAAGTCTCCAGCCGTGCTAAAGTCTCCAGCCGTGTTAAAGTCCCCAGTAAAGTCTCCAGCCGTGCTAAAGTCTCCAGCCGTGCTAAAGTCTCCAGCAGTGTTAAAGTCTCCAGTAAAGTATCCAGCCGTGCTAAAGTCCCCAGTAAAGTATCCAGCCGTGCTAAAGTCTCCAGCCGTGCTAAAGTCTCCAGTAAAGTCTCCAGGCGTGCTAAAGTCTCCAGTAACGTCTCCAGCCGTGCTAAAGTCTCCAGCCGTGTTAAAGTCCCCAGTAAAGTCTCCAGCCGTGCTAAAGTCCCCAGTAAAGTCTCCAGCCGTGCTAAAGTCTCCAGCCGTGTTAAAGTCCCCAGTAAAGTCTCCAGCCGTGCTAAAGTCCCCAGTAAAGTCTCCAGCCGTGCTAAAGTCTCCAGCCGTGTTAAAGTCCCCAGTAAAGTCTCCAGCCGTGCTAAAGTCTCCAGCCGTGCTAAAGTCTCCAGCCGTGCTAAAGTTCCCAGTAAAGTCTCCAGCAGTGCTAAAGTCTCCAGCCGTGCTAAAGTCTCCAGTAAAGTCTCCAGCCGTGCTAAAGTCTCCAGTAAAGTCTCCAGCCGTGCTAAAGTCTCCAGCCGTGTTAAAGTCCCCAGTAAAGTCTCCAGCCGTGCTAAAGTCCACAGTAAAGTCTCCAGCCGTGCTAAAGTCTCCAGCCGTGCTAAAGTCTCCAGTAAAGTCTCCAGCCGTGCTAAAGTCTCCGGTAAAGTCTCCAGCCGTGCTAAAGTCTCCAGCCGTGTTAGTCTCCAGCCGTGTTAAAGTCCCCCAGTAAAGTCTCCAGTCGTGCTAAAGTCCCCAGTAAAGTCTCCAGCCGTGCTAAAGTCCCCAGTAAAGTCTCCAGCCGTGCTAAAGTCTCCAGCCGTGTTAAAGTCCCCAGTAAAGTCTCCAGCCGTGCTAAAGTCTCCAATGTTTTTTTTTTTTAAACTTTCTCTCTAAATCTGTTTACTGCCGAGAACTGCAGGATTTTTGTGTCGCTTGTTCGTTTTGTCCCAACAAACAACATTGAGCATTATATTTAGTACATGCTACATAGGCATAGCTTATAGGGCAGTGCGTGCTGTGTAAGGAGGGGGGGGGGGGGTGAGGGTGGTAACAATCTGTATCCAATAAAGGCTGATAACGGATTGCGTCAGAAAATAAAGGAACTGAGTGGTTGCAAATTAATTGTGTAGATGGGGTGTGGGGTGTGGGGGGGGAAGAGCATAAATTAAAAGGTCAACGTGACATTGGTTCAAAAAGGCCGCGATGTTTGCTGTGTTGGTGGGGGGGGGGGGAAGAGAGAAGCGAGATAAACAACGGAACATGTTCATGTTCGCGTCCTAACACTACACAGTCGAGGTCACATTGAGTTCTACTCACAATCAATCACGTTTGTCGATTTTTTATTTTATTTGCATATTACGTTTCTGGGGTGTATTTTTTCTTTTAAAACTACATTACATTTTACACGATCAAATCATAACCTCAGATTTTCTATAACAAAGAAAACAATCTTATATGTATATCAAAATAGTTCATCTAACATCAAAACGCCTGTAGTTCAGTAATTCAATTCAATAGCATATTAAACTATAACTATTTCAGCTTTACTTGCATGTATGATGGGCACATAGAGGAAAAGATAATGAAACTACAGATATACATTTCACAAAAGCCAGATTTACATTTGGTCAAGCAATTGGTGTTTAGAGAAAAAGAATATACATCAAGACTCATAAGAACCTTGCTAATATGAAGGGGGATTTTAACTTTATTAAGATTAAATAGATAAATAAGTTTCAAATTTAAGACTAAGATTTGCAACATACAGTTACAAGCTATAACAGCTAGAGGACCAGTTGCATCCACTCCTGAACTCAATAGAAAGTTATTAGAAATTGTATACTTTAACCAGTTTCCAGACGTCCCCTCCCCCCGCCTCCTCTCACTGTAGAAAAATGTCTGAAAGAAACACTGGTAGCAGCAAACTCAGAAGAAACCGGCAGTAATGTAATCTGCCTTGTCAGCAAGATTTTGTTTAGTACCTGCTTGACCTTGTAGGTCAAAGTTCAGATCAACGGTAAACGTCCAGAGATATATCGGACATGGACCATTAACATTGGTATGGTGGTGTATGTTGGGGGGGGGAGGGACTGAGGGTAGGTTGTTTGTAGGGGGGAGTTGCGGGTTAACGGGTGGCGGTAGGTGACAGGTAATGTTAAATGGAGGAGTGTCGTCGGTAGGTTCAGTGAGGGTGGTGGACTGTGGGTTCGTGGGGTGGGGGGGGGGGGGATGGTGGACTGTGGGTAGGTGGGGTGGGGGTGGTGGACGTGTGTAGGTGAGGTGGGGTGGGGGTGGTGGGCTGTGGGTAGGTGAGGTGGGGGTGGTGGACGTGTGTAGGTGAGGTGGGGGTGGTGGGCTGTGGGTAGGTGAGGTGGGGGTGGTGGACGTGTGTAGGTGGGGTGGGGGTGGTGGGCTGTGGGTAGGTGAGGTGGGGGTGGTGGACGTGTGTAGGTGAGGTGGGGGTGGTGGACTGTTGGTAGATGAGGTAGGGTGGGGTGGTAGACTGCGGGTAGGTGAGTTGGGGAGGTGGACGTGTGTAGGTGGGGTGGGGGTGGTGGGCTGTGGGTTCGTGGGGTGGGGGGGGGGGATGGTGGACTGTGGGTAGGTGAGTTGGGGAGGTGGACGTGTGTAGGTGGGGTGGGGGTGGTGGGCTGTGGGTAGGTGAGGTGGGGGTGGTGGACGTGTGTAGGTGAGGTGGGGGTGGTGGACTGTTGGTAGATGAGGTGGGGTGGGGTGGTAGACTGCGGGTAGGTGAGGTGGGGGTGGTGGACTGTGGGTAGATGAGGTGGGGTGGGGTGGTAGACTGCGGGTAGGTGAGGTGGGGGTGGTGGACTGTGGGTAGATGAGGTGGGGTGGGGTGGTAGACTGCGGGTAGGTGAGGTGGGGGTGGTGGACTGTGGGTAGATGAGGTGGGGTGGGGTGGTAGACTGCGGGTAGGTGAGGTGGGGGTGGTGGGCTGTGGGTAGGTGAGGTGGGGTGGTGGACTGTGGGTTGCTGAGGTGGGTAGGGGTGGTGGACTTTGGGTAGGTCAGGTGGGGGAGGTGGGTAGGGCAATTATATTTGTCGCTAGGAATCATCCATCATACGGTCAAGGGCGGTTATCCTGGTTTTTGTCCATTTTTTTTATAGGGTCAGATGGTGGACTACAAAAAGGAAGGGGGGTAAATTACTATTTGTCCAGGGAGTTCAGTTAGGAAAACTGTAATATTCCTCATTTGTGGACTCTTCCAAAAATAGGTGCCCAAAGTTTAGTATTACAACATCAGGGTTTGTGTATAATATTTAAAATAATAGCATTGGGGTAGAAGTTTCAAATTAAATATGGGTTTGGGTTTGGGATAGAATTAGCTTTGGCCCAAGCAAGTTATATTAGATTTTTTACTGTCTGACACCCCATTTGAAAAAGGTAGGATTATTGTAGGATTTTAGTGCTAACTGTTAATACATCATTATATTAGTTCTAGCTCTCAATGTTGCTGTAAGGTGTGGTTGTTGTTGATGTAGTTGTCAGTGTTGGTACTGGCAGAGCAGAAGTTCAATTGTTTTATAGAGGGAAGGGGAGGAACTCTTTTTTTTTCGTTATGAGTGCAGGTGACTAATTACTTCTAAAGGAGGTGGGGGGGGGGTATTTATAGGAATTAGTTAAGCATATATTTTCTGTTTAAACTATGTTTTTATTAGTCCGGTAGTTAGGGGGAGTTATCAATCTTGATTTTTTAATAATCTTCCTTGTAAACAATCGTGTATGTTTACAATTAAGTATGTTTATTCTTTTGTTTTAGAATGGGTCCACAAGCTGACCCAAGCTTTTAGGCAGGTAGATGAACATCAGTATACTGAACCGTGGTGGTTTGTAGATAATGAGATAATTTGATGACCCTAACTCACACGGTGGATGGGGGAAATGGTGGGTGCGGCAAAATGTTTTAATCTTGGTGTAGCAATAGAATATTTTACTATTGTAGCATGTAGATAAGACTAATTATAAAATGTATGTCTTTCACAGCGGACTTGGGCGGGTGTATTACTAAAAGTCATGTAACAGATAATGCAATAGATGTTATAGCCAGTTATAGGTCTTGATAGTCAACATTATGTCTAATCTTATGTAGTACACATAAAGCACTCAAGATAGTAATGATTAACATATATAGATTTTAAAAATATTTTAAAGAGAGGACGGGATGTTCGTATAACACATTTACTCCAACTAATTGAAGTACAATTTAGTCAATACTAAGGGAAATAATCTAGTTGCAGCTATCTTTTGTCAAACTGGATAGATGGTACTGGATTGGCTTTAGTAGCAAAAAATTAATCAACTAAGTGAAATTGATCTGAAAATTACATACATTACTCTATTGATATAAAAGAAAAGAAAGTCAATGTGAATTTAAAGTGTGATTTATTCGTGCAGCTGACCAGGTTTAGCATGGCTTATCCCAGAATACAGGCAATGTGAATAAACTACAAATCTAGCAGAGCTAATTAACATAATTACATATATTTTATCAAATAAAATAAAAGCAACATACTTCATATTTCTAATACAATGACAGTTAACTTAACAAACAGAAGATAATGTAAACAAAGACGAAAGTAAAAAGTAAAACAAGACTGATAAAAACATTTGACACTTATAAAAATTTAAAAGAAGAATAAAAAAACATTTTTAAAAAATCTTTGACAAGGGAAACCATTCAACCAGATGATCCAAAAGTTATCTACCCATGAGGGCGTGAGCGTAACTCTTGCGAAGGGTAGGAACATTCTTGTAGATGAGGGCATTGGCATTATTGTTAGCATCGGCTGGCTTTGGGTAATTCTTGTTAGCGTCGACTGGCTTTGGGTAATTCTTGATGGCATCGACTGGCTTTGGGTAATTCTTGTTAGCGTCGACTGGCTTTGGGTAATTCTTGATGGCATCGACGGACTTTGGGTAATTCTTGTTAGCATCGACGGGCTTTGGGTAATTCTTGTTAGCGTCGACTGGCTTTGGGTAATTCTTGTTAGCATCGACGGGCTTTGGGTAATTCTTGTTAGCATCGACGGGCTTTGGGTAATTCTTGTTAGCGTCGACTGGCTTTGGGTAATTCTTGGCGCTGAAGCAGTCGAGGTACCACTTGAAGACCATCCTGTTGTCCAGGACGTACTTGCCGTCCACCAGTTTCTTGTAGTTGACCTCACGTTTCCCGCGTCTTGTCTCCAGGCACACCGGCACCGGCACGTCAACTTCCGATCCGGTTTCCGGCCTTTGACAGTCCTGAGGCTTGAGATCCCACAGGTGGGTGTAGGCCCTAGAGGCGGGGTTGAAGATAAGTCCATGGCCAAAGATTTTCACGGGCCACTGGATGTTGGACTGGGATGGTTCAGAGACCAAGATGCTGACTTGAAGCAGACCTTGGGTGTTGAAACAAAACTTGAGGCGGTATTTGAACTTTTTGGAGCAAGCGATGAAGTGTGTTGTGAAGAAGTTCTCCCTACGGCAGGCTAGCTGTGGGCAGTCTGGGACTGTGTATTCGATCTCACCCCGGCTGTTGATGTTGGGGACAGCGATTGGTTGTGGTGGCGCCGCTTTACCACTTGATGACGTCTGTCTTGATGATGCTGTTTTCTCTTTGCGACGCGATGACTTTTTCGTTGATTTCCTCGTCTTGGCCATCTCTTTAGGACGTGAAGATGTCTTCGTCGATTTCTTTGACTGTGTTGACTTTTTACGACGTGATGATGTATTTCCAGACTTGGTCTGTTTCCCTGCCTGTGATGCTGTAGGCTTCAGTGGAGAAGTCGGGGTGATTTGACTTTGTGTTTTTATTAGAGCTGCTTTAACATTTCTTGGGGCGTTTCCTTTTACTGAAACTGATTGCAGTGCTGAACCAACGTCTTTGTGGGCAGATTTCTTGTGAGTTGGCTGAGAGGTGAACATCTTAACAACATCAGCGAATGAGATTTTTGGCTTTTGTTCAAAGAGGGGAGCCGCAGTGACATCTTTTGTTTCATCAGCTATGACATCTTTTGCTTCATCAGCTATGACATCTTTTGCTTCATCAGCTATGACATCTGTTGCTTCATAAGCTATGACAGCTGTTGCTTCATCAACAATGACATGTTTTGTTTCATCAGCTATGACATCTTTTGCTTCATCAGCTATGACATCTGTTGCTTCATCAGCTGTAGTTAAGTAAGAATAGTTCACCATAAAGTCGTTGAGTAAAACTTCAGTAGGAGTTAGTTGCCAGATGCTGGGCTTAAATAAGTTTCTTGCAGCCTCAGCAGGAGATGGCTCTGGAGTTGGTGGTTGCGAAAGGTTTGTCGTGAATTCATTTGTTTGCACCTCGACATACAAAGGTGTCGCCACATCTGAGCAAAGACTGTGTGCTGCGGGGCTCGGCTGAACTGTGTCAACCTCCCCTTGTAGAGCGAGAAACTTGCGGTGGACGATACAGGCCAGTTCGTTGATCTGGTTCTCAACGAAGTACTTGAACAGCTCAGTCTTGCTGAAGGTGGGCTCCACCTCCACCAGAAGATCAAACGAGCGGCAGTAGGTCTGCACCAGACTCAACAGGACGTGACGTGTCAGACACAGCTGCGTGAGGCTATCACGTGACAATTGTTGAATTTCTCTTTCAACTTGCCGCTTGTGTTTATAGAAGTACACGGCAATCTGGTCGATGGTACTGAGGTGCTTCTGCGCTTGGTTCTGGAATAAATTCATATAAACATGAGGCAAGGGGTGGGTTGAGAGGGTTTTGGGGAGGTACTAAGATATCACTGGAGACGAAGGGATAATTTTTTAAACCAACCTTGTTTTTAAAAAACATACAGTTTTGTCAGTAACTTAGTTTAAACTATAGTAATTCTACACTAAATAAACTGATATCAAATAGTTAATAGCTCTATGACAGAGGAAAGACATTAGAAACTAAATGCTCTAGTAAGAAAAATAACGACTATTTTATAGCTAAATGGAGTACTCAGTAAACATGGTTTCCATATCAAGGTGGCGATAAAAAATAAATTAAGTACTCAGTAAACATGGTTCCCATATAAAGGTGGCTATAAAAATAACTTAAGTACTCACCTTCTTGACATAGCCAAGTACCCTGGACTCCGTGATGGGGACATATGGTACTAGTATCTCTGGTTCTGCTGGTGCGGGCGGTGGTTGTGGTTTTGGTCGTGCTATTGGTCCAACCGTTGGTCGGGCAATCGGTGGTAGTCGCTGGAACTCTTTTGGTCGTGACGGATCGTAGTCCGGCATCCAGAACCTTCTTGCTTTATCGATGGCTGTCAAGAAATCCATGACAGATTTACAGGCTGTGGATAAGTTCACGAGTTAAACATCAAATGTATAAACTGGATTTAGAATGATTGAAAACTTTTTGTAGAAAATTTCATATGTTAACAATTATTGAAGATATCAACTGAACACACAATGACAAGCTGACAGGCTTTAAAAAATGTTAACCATTATCCAATGTATAAACTGGATATATAATGATTGAATTTGTTTTGTAGAAAGTGTCTCATGTTAACAAGTATTAATGTATAAACTAAACACACAATGACAACACTACACATTCACATTATTGAATGCATAAACTAAACCGACAGCCTAAAAAATGGTTAACCATTATCAAATTTATAACCTGGATATCATATAATGATATAAAGAGTTACTTGGTGTAGAAAATTTTCCATACTAACAATTATTGAAGGTATCGACTGAACCCACAATAACAACCTAAATAATGAAGTTGACCAGCACCAAATGTATAAACTGGATATACGATGAAAACTCTACTCGCTGTGAAAAGGTTGACCATTGAATGCATCAACTGATAATACACAATGACAACTGGACAGGCTAAATTTATTTATTTGATTGAACTAGACCGACGCGAAGATTTGAACATATTCATAAGACATTCAATAAGTTCCAATACGAAATAACACAAAATCTTATTTAAATGTTAAAAAAAACTTAAAACAAATTCCGGTTCCATGCATGTACCTTTATTTAACACAAGCAAGATTCCAAATCGAGCACGCTACAATTGTCTTTACATCCAATTGTGATGTATCAAGTCACTAGCCTAGAAAACCTATGTATATTGCACAGGCCTAACACTTTTATCATAGAAACCCTTAGTTACATTAAAACCCTTTTAAAATCAACGTTACATATTTTAAAATCAAACTCCTTTTTTAAATTTAAAACACTGAAAACTTTAAATATAAAATTGGTTAATCCTTGAAATATTTATGAAACTTACTTTTCTTTAAAAATTGTTATGAAACATTACTAAATTTATATAGAACATATATGACATCAAAATAAAGGTACACATACCTAGTCTCTTAGAGAGATGACGAAGATAATGAATTTAACTTGTAGATCGGAGAGAGAATCTTTGAGTGACTGAAATCTAGCGCTGCCAACTTTATAGACGGTGAAATGTGGGGGACATCCCTGATCACGTGCCCAGAGACCGTCCATTGTTGGAGATCTTTGACGTCATAGACGTCTGAAGACAGTATGACGCGCCGGAGGCGGCTCGCGGTGTATCAATGACGTCATGTCGCATTGTTGTCGCGTGATGGGTGCCGTGAGATCACAAACAAAAAACACAAGGTGGATTCAAGAAGGTGACGCTAGGTGCATGGCGTCAGGGGACGCTAGGTGGGGGGTGTCAGGTGGGGCTGCCCAGGTGTAAAAACTGGGCTCATTAGATCAAACTTCATTCTTGGAGAATCTTTTCGTCACGGGTCATTGATGCCACCAACACAACAAAAACACAATCAGAAAAAACACCGCCTCTACCCAAGTACCCTGGAGATATGCCTGTGGTGTGAGACTAGTCAATACAAAAT